AGGGAAGGGCATGATTCTGTAACCAATAAAGTTTGAAGAAAACAGAAGACAATTAGATACATAAGACTAAACACAAATCCAGTTCAAAATTAGGTACTTGTCCAAGAAATCCAGTGTACCCAAGGAACGATATCGCCTAAGACATATTATTGTTCCCAAGAGACAAACATTGCCTGTTGTTAAGTCCACTCATTCAAAAAATAAGATAGGTTATCGAGAATATTCATTTTCTAATTGGGCACATGAGGAGATAAAATCTCCGAAGCAGTTATTGTTCTAAGGGAGGTCATCCTTGCTTCCTAATGCTTTCATGTCAGCAATGTCATCACACAACACCAGATGAAATTATGTGAATATTTATAAATATAGGCCAAGCCCCCACACATGCAATCAAAACATACTAGCATATTTAAGAAAAAGGGAAGATTTACAAGTAGCTAGACAAAAGAGCAGGATTTTAGTAGATCCAGAAAAAAATCCTTCTCCTATCATTAGTATTTTAAATGAAACCTTCTCAAATCCTTAATATGTGCATTATAAGAAAATTAGTGGCGAGAGGGCATTATACTTAACAGATGAGTAAACCTTTGCACAGTGAAAGGGAAGGCAATAATTGTTGCAGTAAAAACAACTCATTTCTGTTACCCCTTTTTTTTATAGCAGTGGCGTCTGGTCCAACTCGCACACCTGGACTATCCACTAGGTATTTGCTACCTCCCACCAGCACAAGTACCGAGTAATTTTGTTACCAAGGCTTAGGCAAATGGTAAAACATCGCCCAACAATTTTTGCCTCTCCCGTAATTGGAACCATGGTCTCCCTTTTCGTCCCACTTCATTGATTGTTAGACCACGCCCTCTCTCCATTATTTTTTCATCCAAGTTTCTAATAGTATCAGGATTTTCACCAAAACAATCGCCTAATCTCACTAGAAAATAAATGGAGCCGGATATTTCACCACCTAAAGGTAAGAGGTTGGACTCCTTATGGTTCGCTCCGAAGTCCTAACCATCAAATTCTTCTGTGGGTACTAGTTACCTTAGATTAATGATTTACATGAAATATTTGTATCCACAACCTCTATCCAGTGATCCGGCAACCAGAACAACTTAAGAAAACTAGATCAACCATCAGAAGTAGTAGGACTATAGCCACCACCAACCACTAACATGAAACGGCTGTTTTTTTAAAAAGAGAAACTTAAATTATTTACTATAACCAACAATGACTCCCTTACTGGTTTTTTTGTTAAAAGAAGAGAATCTCAATCTTCCCACAACTTCTCTAACACCAAGCTGAAAACCAAGACTGATTTTATAAAGTTGTTATTTCTTATAAACAAGAAGACTGATAAAGAGAACTTATTATAAAAGCTCATTAGAACATTTTTTCGGTAGAATACCTTGAACCCAAAAGTAGAAAAGTACCACTATTCCCCATTTCAATGAAAAACAAGATTTCACAGTAAAAAAGGAGAACTTTTCATCAAAAAAAGAAAGTGAAATAGGACAACTGTCTCCCATAAATGCACAAAAATTGCCAAGGATCACTCATTATGCCATGATACAATTCAAAATAGAGACTTGACTATTGGGGTTGACTTCTCATTTCAGCAAGAATTACTAGATTCAAGCTTCATTCTCCATAGCTTTGAAATGCTTGTTCTTGAAATACTAGTAGAGCATCTACTTGGATGGCTTCATACCTATGTTGCTTGGACTTCTAAAACATGCTGCCGGGTGCGGGTCAGATCTTTCAAATTAGTGCATTTTTGGAGGATCCGACAAGGGTGGGCAACATTTTTGGAGAGTCCGAGCAACATAGCTTCATACCAATATCCAAGCTTGGTGAGCACCATACTAGGTCATTAAGTGGAGTTTTAATATTATATTTCATTGCGCAACTAATGTTGAGGATAGAAATTGTAATATCTATGATTTCAATACAGAAGCTATGTTTCAGAGACTCTTCTGCGGAGGATCGACTACAATTCCTTGAAGATGCCAAGTTTTTTTCAAGTTTTAAATTTTAGGATTCATGGAATCAGATAAGATGCACTTTTAATTTCATTTTGCTATTTGTTAGCATTTTACCGCAGTAAGAGGTAAAATGCTTGACGCATAGATTAACTATGTCATATTACTACTCCAAAAAATGATCAGCAAATAGCGGAGATCAGTAGAAGAGAAACTTGTGATAGCGCTCCCTGAGGCTAGCCAAAAGAGAAACATCTCTTTACTTGCTCTCAGCTTCAACCATTCCTTATTAAATAGTAACTCAACTATACTATCCTTTTGGTAGCAGAAAACCATTTCAAGACTGATAAACTTAATATTCCTCTTCATTGCCACATTTGACGTCCTTAATCACAGGACCGGATTGGTACAAAAGGATTTCGTTGTGATCCACACCATTAAAACACAGCTACATAATGAACATTAGTAAGGACAGTTATCAGTACTCCCCATAATTTCAGTTAATTTCAGTTTTTTTTCTTAGTTGAGGGTCTATCAGAAACATCCTCTCTGGCCGTCCAAGGTAGGGGTAAGGCTGTGTACATCTTACCCTCCCCAGACCCCACTTGTGGGAATACACTGGGTTGTTGTTGTTGTTCATTTTTTTTCTTCACAAAGTACTAATTTTAGAATCCTGCTACTAACTGCATCAGGTTATATTCATCTCATTTTTTTTATCAAGAGGTTATATTCATTTCATTTGGAACCAACCTCTCTAGCAAGGGAACCAAAGCAGTTACTTCCTTAAGCTGGCCCAATTGCTTCTATCTAGCTATAAAGTTATAATCAAGTTTTATCAATTCTAAGTTTCCGACACGGGGCAACATGTCCAAGCTCAATGCAATCACAACATTTTAGACAACAAATAACTAGATATGAGAAAGGCATCATATAATATAACTACTTTAAAACGATTCATATCAAGTAGAAACACGTGTTCACACACCTGCATGACTTCATCGAGCAGCAAGACATGCGTAAAGGGGTCTCTTTTCTTGGACAAAACCCTCTGCAAATGCCAAACAGCAACCACAACAGAATGTAACTGGTCCATACAACCGTTCATCCGTTGCCACAACGCGTCCTTCGCCTTTGCGCTTCCTCCAAACTGAGGTGTTCCGCTTCTCTGCACACCTCCTGGCCCACCAAATCCACCACCAACAGAAACAGCTTTCATATCCAAAGCTGTTGTTATACTCTTCACTCCCATTGCCTTATACTTACTCACTAACCCATCCACTGTCCCCCTCAACTCCCCCATATTATAAAACACCTGAAGCCCAGCTCCAACTTCAGCTTGATTCAAACCCTCAAGCCCATTCTCCAAAACCTTCATCCCTTCGGCCCGTAATTTCAGCCCAATTTCAACAACCCATTTCAATTCCAAATCAACCACATCAATCCCAGCTAAATGATACTCATTATAAAGTGATAATATCTCAAAATGCAGCTGTGCAGCTTTAGAAAGATCCAATTTTTCCGGGTCATGGGTCGGGTCCATGAGATCCCGGAGCTTTTTGGATAACCTCAGGGTTCGAATCGTAGACTGAAGAAGCTCGGTTGTAGAATGCAGATTTTTAAGCTGAAGGGTATGTTTGGAAATTAACTGGTGAGGATCGGAGAGCTCGGAACGGACGCGGCGGAGGGAGGATTGGAGGGAGGAGACGGAGGAGCGGAGGGAGGAGAGAGCGGATTCAGCTGCGCGTAATGAAGTGAGCTGGTTGAGGAGATCGTGGTGGCGCGTGAGGACTTCGTGACGGAGTTGATTGTTGAGGAGATTAAGACCTTCCTGAAGCTTCTCAATGCGTGAAGCAGCGGAGCCGGAGGAAAGTGCGGCGGAGGAGAAGGTAGTGGAATCGAAGTCGGAGGAGAGGAACGAGGAGAAAATTGGATCGGATGTGAAGGAGTCGAGTGGGGATGGGGATGGAGTGAGTGGGGTATGGGGAGTGGGGGTGGGGTTGGTAGTGGTGGCGGATCTGAAAGTTGAGAGGCGTTGAAGAGGTGAGGCGGATTGAGGTGTAGAGGGTGGGTGGTGGGGTGATCTCTGGATCGCCGGAGACGCCATTGTTTCCGGCCACCGGCGAAATTTAACAATGTGGTGGTTTTTGGATCTCTCAGTGAATAGTGTGATTACTCTTCTGCTACCATAAAACAACTTCGATCTGTTCGAATAGACTGATTACGCCATGGGATTCCGTACTTCCTTGAAATGTAAATCTTAAAATTAAATTAAACTCCGATCCGAAGTATGTGAATTTGAGTTAATTGTTAAATATAAAATGTTGAGTTTGCCTAAAAAAGAATTAATATATTCTCATAGTTTTTTTCTTTCTTTTCAAATAGTATGAAAATAAATTTGCTAAATAAATGTTATTATTATTAATTTCGTATTATGATCTTATCATTATACAATAACTTGTACCAAAGATCCTCAAATTGTATATTGCATATAACTTATAGCATGTTTAGCCAAGCTTCAAACATTAGCTTATTTTGAAAAATATTCTTTTCTCAAAAGTGCTTTTGGTGAGAAGCAGTCTTTGTTTGCTTAATTAATTTGAAAAGCAATTCTGAGCAGGAATTAGTATTTGGCCAAACTTTTAAAAAATATTTTTAAGTATGTTTTTCTCAAAAACGCTTTTCAAAAAAATACTTTTGGGGAGAAGCTACTGTCAATTTACACCATGGACGACTGATTTGTTCCTCGATTGAGCTCCATTGAAGAGCTGGTAGCTTCACATGAATGAGAGAAGACATCGTTTGATTCCCAAAATGAGAGAATGAACTATGTATTTGATATTGCTACGTAATGGTGTACATATACACGAGGACAAACATAACTAGCAACTAACTCTAACTAACTAACAGCTACGCCACTAACTAACTAGTTGTAACTAACTATACAATAAATAAAGCTAAAAGTACAAGAGAGTAAAAGTTGAACATACAAGAAAGATAAATGCATCTCAATACCTCGCTCTCCCCTCAAGTTTGAGGTGAAGGTTTCACAGCCAACTTGCTTAAAAGAGCATAATGTTTAACACCAGTGAGGGCTTTGGTAAGGACATATGCTAATTGAGCACCAGTAGCAATGTGATGTAGAGAAATGAGGCCCTCATGAAGCTTGTCTCTCACAAAATGGCAATCGGCCTCGATATCTATAGTTCTTTCATGGAAAACAGGATTTCTGGCTATGTGCAAAGCAGATTGACTATCACAAAATACTGAAACTTGCTTAGGATAAGGAATAGTAAGTTCATCAAACAGTCTGCACAACTAAGTTAATTCCCCAACAACTTTCCTCAAGGACATGTATTTTGCTTTTGCTGATGACAAGGAAACTGTTTCTTGTTTCTTGGATTTCCAACAAATTGGACTGTTCCCTAGTAGGACTATGTATCCAGTAACTGATCTCCTAGAGTCTGGGCAAGCTGCCCAATCTGAGTCACAGTAACCCTTCAGACTGCAGGCAGACTCGTTGGATAAAAAAATCCATAGAGTTGGGTCATTCTTCAAATACCTAAGCAGGTGAAAAGCTGCTTTCAAATGTGATTCTCTGGGATCCTGCATGATCTGGCTGAGATATTGCACACTGAAGGCTATGTCCAATCTGGTATTTGTAAGGAAATTTAATTTTCCTACTAGTCTTCTGTAATATGTAGGATTTGACAGTGGTGCTCCCTCATTGGCCCTCAATTTCTCATTGGGATCAAGAGAAGTAGAAAGACTACTATAAGGGAGGCAGTCATACTCCTTAAGTATGTCCAGGGCAAATTTTCTTTGTGAAATGATCACACAGTCAGCTATATACAGAACCTTCAGGCCAAGAAAGTAATGTGGTCTTCCCAGATCCTTGGTCTTAAACTGATCATGCAAGAAGTGCTTAAGCTGAGCAATCTCTGAAAGATCTGTCCCGGTGATAATAACATCATCTGTCCCAGTGATAATAACATCATCTACATAGACAGTTATGTGTATTGTGGAGTGTTCTGTCTTTTTATAGAAAAGATAATAGTCATTCAAGGAGTACACATAGCCCCTTGAGCATAGAGCTTCAGTCAACTTAGAATACCATTGCATGTTTGCTTGTTTAAGGCCTCATGGGTTTTCAATGTCTTAGCCTTATACTTCTTATGTTTTGATAATCTAACAAACTTGTCGTGAAGAACCAGATAAAGATTCTGGCCCACAGGATATACATCTCATGTGAACTGGTCGAAGTCTGAAAATCAGCAAATGGATGAGCGACCACAGGGAGGAACACAACAGGGACCTGGTGACCTGGTCCCTTAGGGTTCTCCGACACAAGCAAGTCAGTGACTATACGCAATCAATATAAAGAGGAAACAACAGGGACTGCTCCCATTGGGTTCTCTGACATAAGTACAAGTTAAGTACACAACTGGAACGTAGCAGAAGAAAGTAACCATCTAGCAACTGTCATAAAAGAGGAACACAACTAGGACCTAGTTCGTTGGTGTGTCCTGACAGAAGTACAAAGTCCACTATCCAGCTGGAACGCAACTGCCCAGAAGTGGCTGTGCAGACAGTACAACAGTCACTTCTCATTGGGAAGAAGCATACACCAAGAGTTGAGATCACTATCCATTGTGCTATCTTTTGTGATAAAACAACCTGGTGCAAGACATACCATTTTTTGTGCATTCAGTGATATTCTCTCAAGCATAACAACGTTCATCCTGCATTGAAGTCACTGGTATGTCAAGAATAACAAGACAACTACACTAAGGATCAGTTTCTTAATGAGTTTATGTACATCCGTAGTTGAGTTGTAATCTTGTTGTTTGCTCTTCATTGTATTTCCTAGTTTGCTTTATTAGAAGTGTTATCTTAGGAACAAACCAAAATTCGTAAACTTCTGAGTTTATGTTGTGACTAGGGATAGTCATAAGTTTAAAGCCTTTGTAACTAGGATAGTTATAGAGTGGCTTGTGGTGGTTGCATCACAAGTTAGTTTGAAGTCTTTGCAATAGGGTTTTTGCAAAGTGGCTTGTGGTGGTTGCATCACAAGTTAGTTTGAAGTCTTTGCAATAGGATTTTTGCAAAGTGGCTTGTAATAGGCAGATTGCAAGTTAGTGGAGTTAAAAGCCTACAAGAGTAGGTCGTGGTTTTTTGATCCCCTTGTGTGGGATTTTTCCACGTAGAAAATCTCTTGCCTTCTTTACTTTCAGTCTTTACTGCATTCTAGGCATCATCTCTTAGAGGACCAAGTACTCTATAGTTTGGTGGACGCATACAGATTAACAATTGGTATCAGAGCAGGTTTCTCCTATCAGGCTAACACCTAGGAAGGATCCTAAATGGTTGCTCCACCAAACTTTGAAGAAGGACCATCAACCTATAGACCTCCCAAATTCAATGGTCAATACTATGGCTGGTGGAAGACTCGCACGCATGATTTTATGGTGGCAGAAGATTCAGAACTGTGGGACATTATTTGTGATGGTCCACATGTTCCCATGAAGAAGATTGAAGAAAAAGGACAAATGGTGCCGAAGGCAGAAAAGAGTACAACGACATTGACAGAAAAGCTATAGAAAAGAACAATCGTGCCAAGAAAATCTTGATGTGTGGCATAGGACCTGATGAGTACAACAGAGTCTCAGCTTGTGACACTGCCAAAGAAATATGGTAGGCGTTGCAAACCGCTCACGAAGGAACCACTCAGGTCAAAAAATCCAAGATTGACATGCTCACCACAGAATATGAGCTCTTTAGGATGAAGGATGATGAATCTATACAAGATATGCACACTAGATTCACCTCTATCATAAATGAGCTTCATTCACTTGGAGATGTCATTCCCAGAAACAAACTTGTAAGGAAAATCCTCAGTGTCCTACCTGGGTCTTGGGAAAGTAAGGTAAATGCCATCACT